ATAGAGAGAAGAGAAATTAAGAGAGAATCTTGTCACTTAAGTTTTCATTTGTAAAGAGTGAAGTGCACCTTGAAACTTTTCCTTAGGTCTGTTTATATGAAATGAAAATTCTTCCAGCGCGGATAAATTTCCGATGGAACTTTACAATTTTTCATTAACAAAACGATTTAGTTGGTTATTTGGCAAACAGTCAAACAAATTAAATAAAATTTACAAAATTAAATGTAAAAGAAAAGTGTGTTTATTTTTTGGGTTATGCCAATAATTGTAAAGTAAAGTAAATTTCCTTTATTGCATTTATTAATGGAATGTTTCTGAATTTTTTTTGTTATCTTTGCAGAATTTTTAAAATGCAACCAGCCAAACAATTAATATATAATGTTAACCAAAAACTGCCATTAACATGAATAACATATACGATATAAATAGAAAAATATATAAATATATATGTATATAAATAAATAAATAATTGTGTGCATACACATACCTACATATGCTAGAATTGTACAAGAGCATTGTTCGAGACATAATAAAAATTTTCAACCCGATACCAAAAGCTGCCATTAGTAACAACACATAACAGTCAGTAATTCGATTTGATTATTTCGAGTAAGATAACGTGTCGATGTCGATGTCGATGGAATCGCTATGTTGATGAGACAGACCGCCAATCGGCATATCAAGCAATCGTCGTTTATGCTGAATAAATACAATTCTAGAGCAATGACAATTAGTTAAATTATGTAAACGATTGGTCCGGCGTGACTTTGAAATCACTACACAATAACGACTACTATACACATAATCCTTTCAAACGTAGTGTAATTCATTTACCAATGAATGAGTCGGCGGATGATTTAGAAACAAAGCATCAGACATCAATTCAGCTTGTGGTTTGCTTAACGGCGATAGCGTATCCAACGCAACCCTTTATTAAGCCATCGTTAACCCACAATTCGAAAAGGCTTCGGCTTACCTTCTATAGCCGTCAGGGAGTGCTGTACGACATCCTAAGATAGCAAACGCGTAATATCATTGCCTCAGCTCGGTTATAGGGAATCAACTAATAATACAACACACAGGAAATAACATAACTGCCTATGTATTATATAATCTTTATATCCGAAAGCTGCGCCTCAAGTCAACTTTGGCAAAAAAACATTTTACGCATTTGCAACTAAATCCTGCTTCTTTGAGAAAACAGCAAAAGCAACCTTTAGAGAAATTGCTAGAAGGAGTACGAGAGTACGAGAAAGAGTGAGAGAGAGAGAGAGGGAGAGTGAGAGTGAGAGAGAGAGAGAGAGAGTGAGAAAGCGCACGCGAGAGAAAGAGGCAGTGAAAAAAAGAAGAAGTGAGAGAAAGAGAGACAGAAAGTGAGAAAGAGATCTACAACTCAACGTACGACTAACTAATTTTACTATACAACGAAGCATCATAACAAACGCTTAAAGGGGAAATGAGATGAAGTGGTTTCAAGTGGCATTAGATGTGATTCTTGTGCTTTCATTTATATTAAGTAAGTACAACATGAAACCTTTCCACTAACTATGTAAACACAAATAAATGTGCATATGCAAAGGTTAAATATATATATATATATATATAATATAATAACAATTAGAACGGTTTTATATGTATAATGATAGGTCAAGGAAAAAATTCGTAGCGTTTTCATCCCAATCAAACTTGTTTGTAATCTTGTACCTTTATGTCACTAAACCAATACCAAAGCCCACAAATAAAAACAAATTTCGATTTGTTAATTCGTTAATTGAGTCGAAAGTTTAGAAAGTTTTCAGTTTTGTGAATGAGACAAACTTGTGAAAAAATTGCAAAATTTGATAAAAATTCGCAGATTTATGTTTTTCTTTGGAATCGAAAAGAATCATGCATAATAAGCTGTTTGAACTTAGCGAAGAAAGAAATTAATTTTACTCTCTATTTTCAACAGTTAATCGGTTTGAAGGGCATAGGAGAGATAAAGTGTCTAGGATTAATTAACAGGATAATTCCTTTCGGTATAACAATTCCATAACCTTGTTTAATAATTCGGATATAATTTATAATAATAATTCGGAATAAGTCGGAAAGCCAACTGATTGAGTTTTTGAATCAGATCACAATCACAAATGTTTTACAGTAACGAAGTATCACTTAGCCGACAACCTAAGATACGCGACTAGCAAGTCAAGCAAGTCGCGTAGTTAAATTTCCAATGCGATAAGACATACTTGGTCGTATCTAGAGTGTGTGCTCAGTTGATAAAGGCATAAGATATACCGATTGGTTACACCATAGCCACTAAGTTGCGACTACTCCCTACCTCCTTATCCATTTCCTTCCGATCACAATGACAATATTGCACATATAAGAAAGAATGATCATATTGAAGACATAAAAAGAGGAAATGCTACATATTGGACGGCTGCTAAGTGCTCCCAATCAATGTTAGAACACAACAACACATAATAAAACCTACCAAACGGTTTATAGGCTTTAAAAATGTAATTCAAATAATATCTGAACTTTTAAATATTCGTGTTACTTGTACGCGATCGTTATTACGAACACCCTCGCGTTCGTGTATATGCATAGTAACATCAAAAAAAAATAAATAAATAAACTTTTAAATAATTTCGAATCTGTTTGATTATATTACAGCTGTGCTAACTAACAACTTTCAAAACGATATCAATAAATGATTTGCTTGCCGTCATTTCAATAATTGCAACTGAATTTAATTATATTAGAATTCAGTTAAAGTCACGCATAGTTGTTGTAATAAGTACGTTAATTTAATATCAAAACGTTTTCATATATTCTCTCTCTGATCATTAAAAGCATTCGCAAGAATTACATTTCACTAAAATTTAAAAATTATTAAAAGCACACATTTCTTTCAACATAAACACATACATAAATATTCTTTTTATATCTAATATCGAGATTTAATAAATGCATGAGAACGCATCTATACAGGCATCTGTACAGCTGCTGCTGCTGCTGCTGCTTCTGCTGCTTTAAAGATAAACATACCTTTTAATGCGAAACTCATCCATTAATGTCTGTGGGCATATATATATATATATATATATATGTATGTTGGTTAATCATATAATTCATCATATGTAAGTACATGATGATGAACCAACGTTACAAGCATAAAGTAAAACTCATTAGGACTCGACTCTAACAAAACCTAATAATCCATTAATTAAATTTTCTACTCTCTCGTCTCTGAAGACACATTAACTTTAAGAAGCGTTTCCATCGCTTAGAAATATGCATGGAAGACACAATAATTCATGAATTCATTGAATTAAATCTCCTCTCATCTGTAAATCATTGATGATGATTCATGCACATCATGTCCACGAATTGCAAACATTTCGGAAGTTTTTGATTATGCCTCTGACTTAATTTTAAAGGGCCGTTTTGTTGATTTCGTGTAGGTGACCACAGGCACAATATATTTTAAACATGAAAAGGGGGCGGGGGGGGGAGGAGCACATAAATAAGTTATTGAAAACCATCGGAAACGCATTCAACCGAAACTTTCCGAACAAACATTTACATCCTTCTCACAAAACTGTGTCAATTTTCAACTATGGACTTGAATTCGCTGACATGACTCTCGCAAGATAAACTGCGCGCACTTTAATTTCAATCCATATATATTGAATTTCTGAAGCTTCATCTCAGCTTAAAATTCATTTTTTTTAATTACAAATTATATTCGGCCTAAATGCATAACGAAAAAAACTCCATATTCATACCTTATAATATTGCTTGGGCGTGGTTGATTTCTGATTTATTTTTGTACAATAAAAATGTTAATTTGTGCGATGCGTGTGTGTTTCCAGTTTATAAGTAACGAAAAAAAAAATTAAAATAAAAAAAAAATACGGAAAGAAAAATTGTATTCTCTGTAAGAGTGTCCTTCGATCGATTTGGCTTATTTTCGATAAGCAAGATGCGCGCAAAAGTTTTCAATGTTTCTGTCAAATTTAAAGTCGATAGCTTCATTTTAACGTTAACAACAAACTTTACAAGGATGAACAGACGAACAGTCTTAAATCGGTTCATAATTTCATACCGAACAATTATATATGTCCATATATAACTTATGTAGTCTACGGAACTGCCATCCAGGTGTTGGAAACGTTTTGAGCAAATAATTGTACCTCTCTCTCTCATCCTACGATGATGTATAATTACTTATAAACTATAACAGATGAAACTATCAAGATATGTGCAGGTACGTTCTATGGATAGATGATACAGTACCAAAAGTGAACAAAAGCGGCAAATCCAAATTCACGCGAACATAATTCTCATAATTGTTTAATTTCCATAACATAATGTGCAAGTAGAACCAAGAATTTGTAGCTATTAAGCGATTCGGTGTGAGTTTAAAAAAAAAAAATGTTTTTTTTCTTTTTTAAATAATTATTAATTATTTCAGTCAGCATTGAATATTCGGCCCCGAACAAATATAGCCCCCTATGATTTCACCTAAACACACATATTCAATGAGATTTCCGACTCGTAAATACTTTAATAGACAAGCTTATGCATATACATATATATATATATATATATATATAATTTGATAGGCAACATTCACATTTAAGGCGAAATATGCAAATTCTCGATTTTTATGCTTTTTCATCATCAGCTATTATGTGTCTGCATTTATATTTTATACATTCGCATATAAAATGTAGATAATGATCTCTCTAAATTGTGATAAACATCTGAAATTTGCATGTGTATCCAAAGAGACCGGATGTCCGTAGCTCGTTTTGACAAAATTATGCTTTCGCTATGCTTGTAATAATAGTCAACTTTACTTTTCTCTTCGGTGTGTTTCTCCCTCGGCATTTGGCTGTGTGTATGTTTCCCTTTCTCCTCTCTCCTTTTGTAACTCTCTATCAGTTGGTCCTGTGCAGGTATATATATCTATGGGAAATTTTGCATAAAAGTTATACTAATTTGTTTGACCGAAAATCAGTGAATGAGTGTGTGTGTGTGTGTATGTGTGTACAATTGTACTTGTGCTTTTGCTCGTGCATGACTGTGTCGTGGCATTAATAATACAGAAAATTTCATTGTATTTCAATTCAATTACATATGTATCCTGAAACATTTAATTGCTCGAGTACAGTATGATTTTGTTAGTACACACACACACATATATGTATGTATATATATATTTATATGTAAATTACAAACACACACACACACACGCACACACACACACACACACACACACACACACACACACACACACACAC